GGTCGTCAAATGAGTTTTTCAAGTTAACTGGTCCGGAATATGTATTTTCCGGACCAGTTAACTTGCAAAAATCATATGACGACCTTCCCAATTGAATTGTTTGCTGAAATTTGGTATGAATGAACAAGACTTGATGAGGAACATACACAAAACATTTGAGCAAAAAATACCACCGAGAAGGACCCCAAAAGGAGGAGGCCGGACGGCGCTCCGGTCAGGAAATTCCTGACCGGAAGATTACTCTCTCTCTCTCTCTCTCTCTCTCTCTCTCTCTCTCTCTCTCTCTATATATATATATATATATATATATATATATATATATATATATATTAAGGATCATATACAAACTCATCTTTATTTACAAAGTGCAAACTAATCAGGGCCATCCATTCCCTTTGATCTCATGTGCGATGAATATCAGATGAGGTCATTTAACTTATGCAGTTGAGGGGTTTGAAAGTCTTTTAGCCTTGTATTAATTTTGGAAAGAAATCACGATCTTTTTATTTTCGCTCTGGAACATGCGTATCTCTTCTCCATCCTCACTCTGCAACGTAAACATCTCTTCTTCATCTCTATGTTCATCGTCATATCTATCTCAATCACCATTCCCATCCCCATCTCCATCCCCTCTCCATCTCCATCTCCATCTCCATCTCCATCTTCATCTCAAATTTAATAAATTTGATTGGTTTTCTTCTATTTAAACGTCATGGACCCCAGGACCTATGACAAGAACATTAGTTCTTGAACATCTTGGATTTCCACATCGCTATGGAATCCAGTGTGCAGGCCGGATTTTTCTATTTTGGTTTTTCTTTTTATATCAATTTAATAATTTCGTATTTATGTAATGTCCTTGTGATTTTTGTATGCAAAATTTCACCATTCAGAAGATGTTTCTCATATATTTTGTATGCATGTTAGCTGAGTGCACGATGCAGATTTTATAATGATAAGATGCAGCAAATGATCTTCTACAATGCACACCTTATCTTCCTAAAATGCAATATACGATCTTCTAAAATACACATGCCATAGTGATAAAATGCAACATATGAACTACTAGAGTGCATTTGCAACATCGATAAAATGCAGTATGAACATCTAAAGTATACATAATTACATATCGTCTTACTAAAGTGCAATATATGAGCTTCTAAAATGCACATGTCATAATCATAAAATGCAAGATATTAACTACTAAAATGCAACGTAGACATACACTATCACTATGTAGTCTAATATAAGTTATGGAGACATTGTAAATATATAATGTGCATCATGTAACCTTAATAAGCACATCCATTAACCTTAATATGCACATCATGTAACCTTAATGTGCAGACACTTCATCCCGTGTTGACATCTTACAAACTAATTAATATGTAAGAAGTTCTAATATAAATTATGCACACGTTATCAATATATAATGCTTCCATAACCTTAATATTTTAGGTTTAAAAATGAAAGATTAATTAGGAAGTGAATAATTCCCAAAATCAAGTACATATTGTCCCTTCAATTTTTGAGAAATTTTGAATAATTCCCAAAAGTGACAAGTGAATGATTTCCAAAATCAAGAAATAATGGGATCTTTTATTGCAACCTTTGTTGATGGCAAAAAATCCGATCTTAATCCATGCACGTATGGGTGGTTGGAATAATGGTGGTTGCATTCAACGTAACTTTTTATCTTTCCTTCTTTAATTTGCTAAACATGGGTGGTTGAACTTTTAGTGGTGGGTTAGCTAATTTTTTGGGATATCCTTCCGTATGCGGTTCATTAATTTAAAAGGTTAATTTACCTTGTTGTCCTTGCTTATTAATTGTGCTTATTAGTTGTCCATCCGTTTTTAGTTCTCTGTATTTCACCATAGGGAATGCTTCGGTGGTCTATTATATGGATAGCCTTTGATTTGTCCAATTTGAACGTACATGATGAATTTGTATTTTGTACGGGAAGCCTTATTTGTATGTGATCTCTACCCTATATAGATATATATATATATATATATATATATATATGGCGCAGTTCCAGTGAAAACGCTGCTTAACGTGAGAACGTGAGAACAATCACTTTTAAATCAATGGGGTGCACATTGGAGCTATTATGTTGCACATTTTCAAATTGGTCGAATTAAGCCTATATTAAATAAACACGGTGGCATTTTGGTATATATTGTTAAAATGTGTTAAAGTGCAATATGTAAGCTTCATTGTGCAACAAGTTGGGGTAAATGTGGTGTTCTCACGTTCTTACATTAAGCAATGTTCTCATTTGATCTTTATTCTCTCTCTCTCTCTCTCTCTCTCTCTCTCTCTCTATATATATATATATATATATATATATATATATATATATATATATCTTGAACTTTATATAAACATTTATTCTTGCACTATGATGCATATTTATTACAAACACAAATTTATTGGAATAATTGCATAATTTAAAATACTCTGAACATTGTTAAAATGTGGGCAGTTAACATTCTAAAATTCCATTTGTGTAATAAAAAATATTACATCTCTTACAATTTATTTTAAATTATGTAATCATCATCATCACAAATGTAGCAAATTACATTTGTGATGATAATGCTAACATAATTTTTATATGAAGTTTGAGACATTTATATTACATGTGAAAGTTTGGATTACTTATCTCACACTCATATGTAAGTTTGGAACACTTATCTCACACCCATTCAATGTTTTTGGATGTTTAAATTATTTTCCCAACAGATACAGAGTATGAATTACAGTATCATTAAATTTTTGACAAATAGTTTTTTTTAATTTGATATTCGTGTTACTATATTACAGTAATGTGTAATTATTAATAGTACAAAAAATTAGAGAAAAAAATATTTATTGATTGGTCTTTAAAAGTCATCATCATCATTACCCCAGTGTCGCAAAAGCTCCCACCCTACACTGGGGTAAGGGGGGTCGAATGTACAAAGTCTTACCCCTATACTAAAGCACATAGCTTCTTTCAAAGTAATGTGTTAAAATGTACTACTGTAAAATATTGATTGTTTTTAGACACAAAAAAATTGATATATTTTTAGATAATAATCTTGAAATATTTATTTTTCTGCTATCATTTATATTTTCAGTTGAAATTATTACGTAATGGAAATTAAATTTTTATATCGTAAATTATTAATTATATATTATTTGGATCATTCAAAAGTTTACTTTTTTACATATGAGAAATATATTTCCCGTGCATCGCACGGGTATAATACTAGTTATATGTAAAAATAGCTAAAATGATCATCTACAGTAACTTCAGTCAATACATCCAGGAAAGTAACTCCAACTTGACTTTTTCTACTTATTACACAATTCAGTACGCGACAACAAAAATTACGTGCTTGGTTAGAAAGTTGGCTGATAAGCCTAATAAGCCAAAAAATAGTGTTCCCAAATGGCCTATTGATCTTCTTGTTTTCATTGTTTACATTGAAATCAATGTTTACATTCTTATATTTTGTATTAGACAAGTTACATTTCGATTTGCCTGTAATTACATTTCTTTTTTTTATATCATCAAACGGGTCTCTATTCATATCAAAAGATTCAGGGTCATTACATCAAGCAAAGGGAAAATAAAACTGACACCAACTGAAACTCTAACAACTATGACTGTAGCCCTATGGTGAGACTTTGAGACGGTCACCCCTGAGAGAGCAACACGAATCGCTAACCATGTAGTGGACTTGACACAGCCAAACATGTTCCCATAGATCCAACCATACCCAATGACATAAAGAGAGACAAAAAACTTGAACAAACTGTCAAAACCAACAACAAAAGTGGACACAAGAAAACAAAAAACAAACAGATAAAAACTACAAGAAAAGCGTTCGCGAACTCTAGCACCTTGTACATCCCATGGTAGTGGTTCAGGAGGAGGTCGTACCACCGGTACCATGCTAATTGATCCTCCGTGACCTTTGGCTGCCAAAAACCATGCATCAATGCTCCGTCCCTGCATAACCAAACTCATCCATGCTCCGTGCGACCAGAATAAACGGATAGGTGGCACCGATCTTCTCCAACGACGACACAACCGCCTCATCCTCGAACATTAACCACAACGCCGATCTCCTCGAGCTATGATAGCAAATCCGCCCTCCACAGATGAAGCACAAACAACAGCGGCCGTCCTTCGATTAAAATCGAAGACGGAAAAAGCGGCCGTCCTTCGATTAAAATCGAAGACGGAAAAAGACTCCAAGCGGCCGAAGCCCTAGAGAGAAGCGAGAGAATCTGTAATTACATTTCTTATCAACGTGAATTACATTTCCTTGCACACGAATATGGGAAAATATACTCCGTAAGTCCGTATTCCAGGACCATATATGATTAAGTATACAAATCAAATGCAAATAAATACTTCGTATGTAGGTAGGTTTGCCAAAAAAAAAGGTGTAGGTAGGACTAGTCATGGACCCGGTTCGGGCCGCCCGGCCCGCGACCGGCCCGGCCCGCTACTGTGCAGAACTAGAACCGGCCCGGTTCTCGGGTCCGGGACAGGCCTAGGCCCGGTGGGGGGCGGGTCTGGGCCTTGTATTTGGCGAACCGGCCCGATCAACGGCCCTGGGTCCAGGCCGAATTGAATTTTTTTTTTTTTTTTTTCATTTTTTGGGGTTACCCAGGTTGGGCTTGATGGTTAGGAGGGGGGGGGGGGTTAGGAAAGCAAAAAAAAATGACCAAACCGGAGGCCCGGCCTGAACCCGGTGGCTACCCGGGCCGGTCCCGGGCCTTCCTTCCCCAAAAAAAGCCCAGCCGGGCCCAGCCCGGAACCGGCCCGACCCGGGTCCATGACTAGGTAGGTCTCTAAAGAACACTAGAATACCATTCCATACGTCAAGGCGATTGATTAATGTCAATGCAAGAGCAGTTAGTATTGGTAATGAGGTTGTTGACCTGGATTGACCAGCGGACTTCTCCAAGAGAATTCATCCATGTCTTTTTGTAAGCCAGAAAAAAATTAGATGAATAATAAAATAAACTCCAAAATGCGGTATATTCAAACATCTAACACATACTCAGATAAATAAATAAAAATTACGGAGTATCTCCCATAGTAGCAGAGAGATGCATCTTAGACAAACAACAGACAGTAATAAAACTAATAATGGATAATAAAGTTTGATTGTTGAAACAGCAGACTTTTACAAAGATGTGTTGGGGGCAAAAGAATCAATTCCTCATTTAGTGAGCATCTTCTTCTTCTTCTCCTCCTCCTCCTTAGGGGTAGACTCGGGCCGGTTCGGGCCCGGTTCGGACTTGGGCCTGGGCCCAGTCGGGCCTCGGTTCATGAAAGGGGAGGCCCGGGTCCGGTTCGGACCAGGTCGGGCTTCGGTTCAACTTAAATTTTTTTTTTGGCTTTTACTAATTAACCCCCAACCCTCCCCCCTCACCCCCAAACCACCTCAAATGGCCCAAAATACCCAGCACAATCCAAAAACTTACAAAAAAATCAAAAAATAAATAAATAAATAAATAAATAAATAAATAGGCCCAGACCGGGCCCGAACCGGCCGGGCCGGTTCACCTTTTCAAGGGCCCGAGCCTGGCCCGGAACCCCAGCGGGTCGGGCCTACCCGGACCGGTCCCTGGCCGGGCCAGCGGTTCAGGCCGGTTCAAACAGTGAGCGAGCCGGGCCGGTTCCGGGGCGGGCCGCCTGGCCCGAGTCCACCCCTACTCCTCCTCCTCCTCCTTGGCATTCTCCATTTCTGTTGTCTCCTTGTCCTTTGCGGCACTCTTAAACTTGTCATCCACAATCCAAAAACTTACAAAAAATTTAAAAGAAAAAAGAAAAATAAATAAATAGGCTCGTAGCGGACCGGGCCCGGACCGGCCGGGCCGGTTCACCTTTTCAAGGGCCTGAGCCCGGCCCGGAACACCAGCGGGTCGGGCCTACCCGGACCGGTCCCTGGCCGGGCCGGCGGTTCGGGTCGATTCAAACAGTGAGCGGGCCGGGCCGGTTCCGGGGCGGGCCGCCCAGCCCGAGTCCACCCCTACTCCTCCTCCTCTTCCTTGGCATTCTCCATCTCTGTTGTCTCCTTGTCCTTTGCGGCACTCTTAAACGAGTCCTCCACAAACCTGTCAGCAATTGAAAAGAAATAACCAAAGATTACAACTAAAAAATTAAGCAACTCTTCAGCCCAGTCAAGGATGCAAGTTTATAATAAATTGAAGACCAGGTCGTTAACTTACTCTGACATCAATACACATAACACATACCGCAACAGGTAAAAAATACATCACAGGATAAATACACTAATCAATTTGATCAGAGATAGATAGAAATAAATGTACTCACATATAACTCTGAACATAGAAACCAGTCTCAATAGAACATCGTGACAGGAGCGTGGCAGAAAACTTGTCCCCTTCGGATTGGAGACTGACCTTTGCATACGCAATATACTGCAATTTACCAGGCCATTCATCTCGCTCACCATCCAAGAATATATGTATGACTGTGCTCCCATCATAGCACTGCTGGGCGAAAGCATGTGGCACTTCTCTGTCGAGTGGCAAGCCTGCCACATTCAATTCTTCCATCACCATGCTTTTGGAAAACAAATCGTAAAGGGACCAAATACCTGCCTGGAGAATAATTAGAAGAAGACTTGAGCTGCCATATTCCAAAGGAATGAGGTGCTTAAATGTCCAAGTTTCCAGCTTTTCAGAGGTGACAGGGAAGTTGTGGTCATAGGTCTCCCACTGGTTCAACTCATAATTAAACGCACGAAGGTGAACTGTGCGACTTAATAAACTATTCGAGCACAACATAATCAAAGGCTTCTCACGAAGAGGCTTCCTGGGGTCATTCCACAGAAAATAAGAGTCAAATACCTCATACTCGTGCAATGATTCTACAGGGATTGTTCGAGCCGAGAACTGATTCAAAAGCGGATCATAAATTTTGAGCGCACACCTTTGGCACTTATCACAAAAGATAAGTATCTTGCCATCATAGGGGACTACCAATGGCATCAGATATCCTAGGGGATAGGGATCAACAGTGGGTGGGCATGCGATGGTTTTAGAGCAAAGACTACCTGATGCAGTGGCAGCAGCAGTATCAATGCACCAAATAGCATTTGAACCGTCATCATCATAACCTATCACGCCTACATCTTTTGCAGCATGGCGCCGTAGACCTCCCACGAAGTATAAGCAACTTCCAATACGACAGGCTCCGGAATAGATGAGCACAGTGTCATCTTCTCCCGCACCATCACTGAAAAGTTCCACGTCAACTGGCTCTAGCGCATCAATATACAGCGAATCTTTCGATATATCAGCCATGGTGAACTTAAAGAACTTCCTGGGGTTTTCTACCTCCGGGTGGTATAATTGTCCAAACACGAGAAGTGCCGAGAAACTTAAATCTCCTTCCTCTTTGTTCTCTGTCATGCTGTTTGCTTTTTGTCAGGTTATGCTAAATAATCTCCTGCATAATTAAAACATCCCCCAAAATTAACTCTTAAGGAACGGGGAAAAAAATCCACTAGCTGCTAAGTATAAAATCAGTTGAGGGTACATCCAGCAGGTCTCCAAACTAGAGAAAGGACCATCCATCTGCATATAACGTGACTAGAGCAGCCTGGCCTCACCTTGAGTATGTACTGACATGGAAAGGCCCAGGCTTAAGATTAGTTTGGATAACCACCCTCCCTCCCCCCCAAATTATACTTGGGATGTTTTTACTTGGACTGTTTTCAGTCCCACACCAGACCAGACTTCCGTAGTTATAAAATACACAAAAACCAGACAATTACCAGACCAAACTTACAAAGATTAGACCAAAGATCAGACCAGACCAGACCAACAAATTACAGTCCAAGTAAAAACATCCTTAGAATAGAATATCTGAAATATTTATTTCATCATAGTTTTTTTTGACCTGTAAGAAGTTCTTACATTGCTAAATAATATAAATCCTTTTGTTTTATTGGTCAATGATACAGACAGCTAAACAAGGCAAATGGCAGGTTCAGAACCACAAACAAAGTGTATCAGCAGGATTGATAAACTACAACGGGTTAATGATTAATGCATCATAACAAGCAATGGTATGAAGAACTTTTTCCATTTTTTGAAGTTAGATAGCTACAAGCCTACAATCAAGCAGAACCCAACCTAGTTTTTTAATCTAATTTCTTACAAACAAATTCTGCAGTCTCAGGTATTGCTTGAGCACTTCCCCCCATACAATTCAGAATGGGAGAACGTTCAAGTATATATGATGAAAGAAAAAGTATCATATTGAACAAAAAAGGGATTTATCTAAGTACATTAATTAAATAGTAACTAACGTGGTAAATTAGGCAATTAGCAGCGAAAGATCTAAAAAAATCAATACACAGGTAATAACTAAAATCGCAACTATAAAAAGGGGTCCATTACAAAGCAAATTCATCACAGACCATCACTCCGTCTTAATGTGAAAGTTTTACGGTTTAAGTGCAGTATGAGTATAACATATGTACATATGTGTATATATATACACACATGAAACCAGTTAAATGCTTAGTGTAGCTTTATATTGGACCAAAAGCATGTTCCTTTACTACTTCTCACTTTGTGTAATGAACATATCCTTTATTTAATTCATAAAAAGGAACACAAGAGATACATTGTAGAATAATCACTTCAGTTCTTCTGGATGTAGGTGACATTAAGGGGCTGTTTACTTCAGTCCTTTAAGCTATCTGTCTGGATTAAGTGACACTGAGATAACAAGTTGTTTACTTAGTGAGCTGAATAAGATGTCTGAATCATATCAAATGACCAAATAACCCTCTCATCTGGAACAAGAGCTGAATGTATATTGACTGTTTACTTCTCTGGTTCTGAACGATAATTTCTTACCCGTTTACTTTTCTTTTTCTAAACGATAATAATGAATTATTTAAATTAAGAGTCACATTACATGAAAAAGTCAAGCACATTACTAATCTATCACTACAATAGAATTGAGTCGTGGAGGCAATCCATATACTCGTATTGATGTTTAAACAACATGCATTTGCCTCAAAACATTTGAGCTTAAATTTATTACTAAAATGTAATTACACCAATAGGATAGATTGTTTTAGCAAAATATATCTAAAACCTAAAACAGTTGCTTAAGAAAGATACCCAAGCAATTACTTGCATCAACGGTAGAGTTATCTACTTCCACATAAATAAAGCCATGGCCACTAAAAATCTGCAATCACGTGCAATAACTAAAGATAAAATCTGCCTACAATTCATGTAAAAACAATAAAAAATGAATCAACAAATAATAATCAGTGTTCGAAAGAAAGAACTCCCTGTATATGCCAACAACAATAAAAAAAATCCCAACAATAGGTGATGTATAAACATCCCAGGAACAAATCAAAATACTCCGTATTATATATGAGATTCCAGTAAAAAAAATAGACCATATAACATGAGGTTGAAGAATATGATATCTCTAATTAAGTTGAATTTCAGAATTTTTACCAATCTATAGGAATTAGAAACCGGCTAGATCGAGAATGAGAAAAATAGAAGAAAAGATGTAAGATCAGAGAAAATACCTAGATGAAGAAGTTAGGCTTTGAAGTTCTTCTTCGTTGGTATCTCGAAAGCTCGCAAGATGCTCAGGTCGACGATTTCCGCAGGTTTGTAGCCAAGAGTGTTGTCTCGGATGAAATATTTGAAAGGGGATGGATGGTTAAAGAAGGTATTCCGCAAAGGCAGAGGCGTCTAAATAAGGATGGAGTGTGAAATCTATGCTGAACGAATCAGTCCTAATTTGACTGAGCGAATAAGTCTATATTTAATTAAGCTCTAAATAAACACAAGAATATAACTGATTGATAAAGTCCATATTTCCATTCAGCTCATTAAGTCCAAAGTAAACGGGCCCTAAGGGTTAGTGTCAAACTTTGTGTATGATCCGTTTACAAAGTGTTTTCTAGATCTTCTAGGTTTGGAAAAAGCTTATCTTTTATTTTTAGTGTCATTAATCTTTACCCGTGCATTTGCATCAAATTCATTGACAACATATTTTATTGATTGTACTGCAAATACCATTTCACAAAATTGTATTTGTCACTAGAGGTGGGCCAGGACTTGGTTAGGACACCTACATAGAATGTTTGTGAGAGATGTCACCTAATTTTGTCACCTAAAATGTTTGTGAGAGATATCACCTAATTTTGCGGTTGTTTAAGGACACTACTACTTTTGTCCATTACATTGAAAGTGCAATTAACATATCACTTTTAAAGACAAACAAAACCTCAAGTCAAGAAACTGGTGCAAAAGGTGTATTTTTTTGTATTCGACTTACATTATTCCTTCAAAGAGGTAATTGTCTCCTATACTTTTCTTTTTAATTTTTTCAATGAACGTAACAAAATTCAGTTTCCATAAGTCTCATAAATATTACTCCCTCCGTCCCGTTAAGATTGTCCCATTTTACTTTTTCGGGAAATCCCACTAAGAATGTCTCATACCAAATTTGGTAAAGTTTGTGTGACTCTAAATCATTCCTACTTTATTTTTACTCTTTCAATTCAATACCAACCACATAAACTCACTTTACTTAATAACCGTGTCACCTTCTTACGTCTCAGTGTTAGTGGGACGGAGGTAGTAGTTTTTTGAAGTTTAAGTATCATAGTATTCATCAAAATATTTAGAAGTATATATGTAAATTTGAAATCTTAGCATTCTGAAATAGTAGTTTTATACTTAGTATAAAAGAGTTACTCAAGTCACAGACAAAACATAAAGGTTGATAACACCTTTAAAAGGTATATGAAGAGAAATCATAACCTATTATGCACTCTCCTGTATAGTTTCCAAGTGCTCTTTCAACATAGACATGATCCAAAAATTTAACTAAGTCACACAAGTTGCAAATGTAGGTGGAAGAGAGTGTATTTGATGACATAGTAGATTCCCTCATTTCAATCTATTGCAAATGTATAAATGTAATGTCCTTTAGATTGTTAAAAACACATTATTGATCCATTTTGTAAGAGTATGTAATTATAGTAGTCTTAAATTAATCACGATTTTTTTTACTTATGATTAAATAGACATTCATTGAAAAAACTTCCAAATGAAATTATATTTTGGAATGATAAATACATACATCAGTTGGAGTTTTGAAAAGAAAAAATACGGAGTAGTAAAAACTATAATATTGAATAGAAAAAAATAGTTTTCTTATACGAGTACAAAAACCAACCTGAAAAAATCAGCAGTCTAAAAAGACAAATTATACATGTAAAGCTAAATGGAAAACCAAACAACGACCTGACATCAAACAAACTCTAAACAGATTACCTACTTTTTTTGGATGAACCTAAAAAATACATCTGAATAAGGCTAATACAATAAGAATTTGATAAGATTGTAAAATACTCCGTACAGTAGATCTAAATGCATACAGAGGTTAATGGAACACTTGATTATCGAGATAAAAGAAAAATTAACACAAAGCATGACCAAGCAATTTAGCGCACGCAGAAGATTTCAGATCTGGTGCGACCAATACATTGATCTCAGATGGTGAAAAACCACTTCATTGATTTGATTTTTCAATTTTGAATTAAAGACACATGGTATTTTCGATTGATTTAATGAATGATTCATACTGAGTATTTAAATAAAAACACAACATTGACAGAAATTACCGTTTGGGTGAGACCTGTGGTTATTTTTGATTCGTGTGACGATGGTGACTGATGATCGAGGGCGACGGGGCTGAGCGACAATCGATGAGGGAGAAGCTGCACGCCTATCTGGGGTGAGGTTATCTTCCTTAGAGACGATTGATGAGGATAAGGGGTGCGAGGTTAATGGCGAATAGCCCTTGGCGGTGAGAGGGTAAGACGAGATGCGAGTCTAGGGAGGTTACAATACGCAATTAGAAGCCCAATTATTTGAAGAATTCATTTGAATGTCTTCTCGGTTGAAGTTTTATATGAAATTTGGTATGGGTAAATTTGACTTGATGAATAAGATGTTAAAAAAATTTCATCAAAAAATGCTACCAGCAACCACCCTAAATGATGACGTCCGGACATAACCTCCTAAATAAGAGCTTATCTGACCTTTTTTTTTTACAGCAATTCACATTTTCATGTCGTTTGAAGCTTAGTCAATAGTCACCACATTCATTTCTCTCTTTATCACATTCTCATTTAATTATACGGAGTATTATATACATACAGACATCAGACACACGTTTGAATGCATCTCTCTAATGCAGTCTGAAACTTTGAGGATATTGTAGTCTGGAGGTGTAATATTGGCGAAAATCAATGAATAGAAGAACTAGGATCAAAGCTGGTGCAAGAGATAGTCAAGAGGGTGTAATTCTACCCGCTATTGATGATGATGATGATGATGATGCCACCCCCAATTTGATCATTGATTTCTCTGTCCCCTTTTTCTACTTCTTCATCAGCTCGAACTGTTAAAATTTCAAACTCCGATCTGCCTCAAGGAATGACGCCGCTTCCAGGTAAGGTACCCACCTTCTCTCCCTCCTTATCGCCTTTTTGTCTCTGTTCTAAACATTTCAGAACAGAGATATACTTGCTCAGATCCTCCTCTGATTTTTTTCGTTTTTAACACCTCAGGATCAGCTTCAAAAGAGAATATAATTTCTGGTTGAAATATAGTTTCGAAAAGGGTTTGCCTTTATAAATGAAAAATGTGATCCGTTTCAACTGAAAGTTTAAGGCGATACTTGAATTTCACAGTTACTGTTCTTCGTCATCCGAAAATATCACTCTAAAAGTATATTAATGAAACTTTGTATATTTATAAATTACACCAAATTAAACCGCAAATGCGGAGTTCGAATATATTGTAATTTTGATACACAAATAAGGGAAGAAAAAGAAAAGATATTTGGTTGAACTGATATTGTTTGATGAACCAACCTATAATCTTGATCAACCTAAGAAATCAAGATTTATGTCATCCCTGGAGCTCAATTTGTGAATCTTGGTGATTTTGGGAAATGCTAACCACACCTAATGACATAGTTCCTCCTCTATTAAGGCTGCTTTCCCCCTACTCATGATGCTTACTCAGTTACTCCGTACAAGTTATTTTTATTGCTTACTGTTTATTCTTATTTTAGTTGAAAGGCTATTAGAAAGATTCAGACGAGATCGTGATGGTCTAGACCAATTCTTATATTTCAGACAAGATTAGGGAATATCCAAGTTTCAGATTTTTAAAATCATTCAAACCAGACAAAAAACATCCAGACCTGATCTGGCCACATTTTAAAAGCTAGATAGATCAAATTACATTCTTTTGAATAGAATGAATTGCAAAAAAGAGGGATCATGACCATGAATTTCCAACAAAAGAGAGCAACCATAACCACTTTTAACTGTTTATGGATGCCATTGGGTATTAAATTTGCAGGTTGTGATTAATCCAGAGGGAGATGGTGTTTGTGGCTGCCTATTGTTTTCTCGGGCCTAATAAGGAAAAGGCCTTCTGTACACAGACGAAATAAGCGTGTACACGGTGGTTTACACGGCCAAATGTGTGCACCAAGAATGACTGGCCTAATAAAGATGTACAACCCAACCTCAACTCATTGCTTCCACAAGTCAACCGCAATTGTACAAAAGGTCAGCATGCAAACCTACAACCAACTTTTATTTGACACTTAGCCTAATTCCAAGAGAGCCCTTGATGCTCTCACATTTTAGCCTGTGCTTCCCCCCTTCTCATGATGAACAGATGAGGTTATGGAGGTTTCTTTTATGAAAGTTGTGTGATCAACAGAAACTCAAAGACTCAAACACTTTCAAAGCCACATTTATACTGATCCCACCTAGTAGTGGGGAGCAAGTACTTTAGTATTCCCAAATCATTGAGATTTTTGTATATACTACGTAAAAGTTAGGGATGGACAGTCCTAATCTAATCCCAGACCACAACCATCTGATACATTTGCCAACAACCTAATTTAAAATTTTTAAAATTCCTGTCTGTAATAAAAACGAGCAACCGATGGTCCAATAAAGGCCTGGACTCGGGCCGGGTGGCCCGACCCGGAACCGGCCCGAACCGCCACTGTTCCAGCCCGGCCCGGTGGCGCAGTCAGTGACCGGTTCGGGTAGGCCCGACCCGCTGGGGTTCCGGTCCGGGCTCGGGCCCCTCAAAACGTGAACCGGTCCGGCCGGTTCGGGCCCGGTCCGGGCCATTTTATTTTATTTTATTTTATTTTTTTGAATTTTTGTTAAGTTTTTGGGTTGAGCTGGGTATTTTGGGTCATTTGAGATGGTTTGGGATGGTTTGGGGGTGAGGAGGGGGGGGGGGGTTAGGGGTTAATTAGGAAAAAGCAAAAAAAAAAAAAAAAAAAAAAAAAAAGAGCCGAGGCCCGAACCGGGGGTTACCCGGGCCGGTTCTGGGCCTCCCCTTTCCTGAACCGAGGCCCAGCCGGGCCCAGGCCCAGGCCCAGGCCCGAACCGGCCCGAGTCCACCCCTAGTCCGATATAAAGGTGGTCAATTCCAGTTAGTTTGAATTGTGCCAGAACCAGTCAATTCACAACCCGTTTTAGGAAACTCAAATTTCCGATTTAACCATTCAAAACTGGACCCAGCTCCCGCAAACAAACCAAACTAGCACATGTTTAACCAATTCTGACTCTTCCATTTTGGGAATATAGACCAACCCATTAATGGAATAGTAAGCAACTAAATGGAATATCAACACATGCAAAACCAGGAGATACTATTGTACTCCCTCCGTCCCCCTAACTTTGTCCCGTTTTACCCTTTTCGTCCGTCCCATTAAGTTTGTCTCATACCGTATTTGGCAATATTGGGTGGTTACAATTCATTCTTACTTTATTCACACTTTATCAATTCAACATCAACCACACAATTCCACTTTTTCTTAAAATTTGTGCCACACTCCTTTGTCCCAAACATAGTGGGACAGAGGTAGTATTAATATTTGAGAACCAATACAATGATGTTAATGAACTATATAATGAAAAAATTATAGAGGTTCAGGCCTCTGTATTGTTAGGGGTTAAGCTACAGCTATGTAATGAACACGATAGTAACAAATTGTGCAACTTTCCCTTGAGAATTGAGATGATATCCAAGTTTAATAAAGAGAACCCAAAAATGTAAGGGCTACTTTTCTCAAACAGAATAAAGTTATTCTGTACTATTTTACATTTTTATGCTGACTCCCATCTTCCCACTTTAATGGCAATTTACAACAGGAAAACTGGACATTCTAATGCTCTAAAATGAGGACAAGAAAGGACAAGAGAACTAGGCATTTGGTAAATCTTTTCCAGAGGCAGAGCCAAGACCATTCACCATCTCTTGCCTTTGGAGTCAAAATCTCCCTCTCCAAAGATCTCCTCAATCATACTGCACGTCGGTAAGAAATCAAAATTAAACTTGGGGCAACTCACATTATACACATCCCACATTGTTTTACCATCAGATGATTCTAAGTTATATCCATTCCACTCTAGGGAGCCATTATCTGGCTTCAAGGGGCCACCTTGCACCCCTGAATCTGAAGATGTGCATGATCCTCCTCCATCTTGGAGACCAGTTTCTCCACCGTCAACAGACTTCTTCATACCAGGTGACTCAAAGGAAGGATCAAAATCAGAAGAATTCCGGCCAGGCCCCTCATCAGAGAGATCTTCGTCATCATCCTCACTTTCATGACAATGCTGCTTTTGAGGGAAGTCAAGACCATCCTGGATAGTGGACTCGTCGTTGTCACTCTCCCCCTGCCATTCATCATTATCACTATCAATGTTCAATGGGTCCCATCTGTTTTGCTCAGCTCGCTTCCTAAGCATGTTAACGTTGAAGTAGTAGCTGACAATCTCCATCTTTGTTTTTGAAGGGAAAGCAGTAGACAGAGTATTCCAGAAATTCTTGCCCATTGAAGCTGGGTTAGAGTATACAATCTCGTCAAACAACTCCTCTTCCTCTTTACTCCATTTGTCAGCCACAACTTCACCCATCTCGTCAAAACCCAACTCCGTGAAGGTGGCCGGACCAAAAGTTCTCCTCAGTTTGTCTCTAGCTTCTGCAACATGTTGCCTCACACATCTGATAGAACCCTCATCTGGGCATGTACATTTGGTCCAACCATTCATGACTTTTTCATCAGTCTCGGGATTTGGCAAGACAGGGATCCCACCCAATTCTCCCTCATAAGTTTCCTGAGGGTTCCAACATGGAATAACAGCTTGGTGATCAGGCCCAACAGGAACTTGCTTCCGAGGAGGATAATCTAACAAGCAATTATATGAATCATCTGGGTTTATTGCTGGTCTGGCAGAACAGCCAAAAGTGAAATATCCAGGGAAGAACGGAGATTGAAACGTATCTTCTGGCAGCTCATCTTCATCACTAGTGCAACTACTGGTAGTCCAATGTGACAACGAAACAGATCTTGTCACATCACTTTTACCCATGTTAGCCTCACCTGTAGGCATCATTTGTCAGCCAAGCAAACAAATAAACAGGATATGGAAAATTGTTTGCAACAAAAGCAAGAAATATGTCATAGCTTATTATGACTTGTTCACGTTTCAAGGTAGAATGATTTATTCACAAACTGATTAAATAAGAATTGGAACGCAAAATCATCTGATTTGTACGAGCGTAATGTCACAGCATACTAAACAGAGATTTCCCAGCTAACCAAAGCAATACTAAAAACCGCAAAAAGTATATACTCCTATTAAATAACTATTCTCTACAAGCTATGCGAAGAGCACTGCGTATCAAGAGCTTCAATGTTATCCAAAAAAATCTCAAGATTTATCGAAGAAAAATCCCAAAACTTGCAACAGAAACACTCACCTGCTAATTCCCTGCCTAGACCGTAGTTCTTCTCGCATAAACCTCCTTTAGAATAACTTTCATTACATGAAGTGATATCTGCACTATGTTTATCTTGTCTATGATGTTTAGGATTACCCTCATAGACCACCTCATCATCAAAAGGCCGTTTGTTTGTCATATTTACCTGCAAGAGAAAATCTAAATTAGTTAAAGCATGAAGGTAATCAAGAAGCCTTTAGATTCAAACAAGAATAAACAAAAGGGAAAGAAAATGTACTTATTCATCCCAACACTCAAATTTACAAATCAATGTGTGATAAATAAAAATATGCCTACTACATCATCAGAATTATACTTTCACGGTTGGCACAAACACACCTAGAAGCAGTTTTTGCGATGGTTGCATTAAAAGTTTTCTTCAGTTCATTCATCTGGATGTCTGGCCTCATCCAAGACATGAATAGAAATGTTTCCACAGAATGGAATTAAATCATGATTAGAAATGTTTCCATACAATGACAGCATCATAAGAAAATCAACGCTTTGGAGAGTTTCCAAAGAGTTTCTGTATAGTTTATGAAATAGGAAACCCCGATAGTTTCTGTGCTTCATAGAGAGAAACTGTGAAGAAGCTGATTAGCTCCATCTCTTCACAAATAGGCCCATTTAATAATGTAAGGTAAGTTGGCAATCCTGCTTAAATATACACACAGCAAAGACATACATCTCACTGATTCCCAATTCCAATAAAGCCCCAATGCAAACTGAAATAATTTATATCCCCTATATAAGCATTGTGAACTTCTCACATTATGTCTGAAGTAAGTAGTCAGCTGACGCACAGCTAAGATGGGGCATATGAATTGGCAGGGGTAATGGAGGTTCAGCCGTATCTCTATTAAGGACGAAGTCAAATTTATTTTATGTTTTCTTTTAAAATAAAGAGGGGACCTTGGTCACTTAAAATGTTTTTTGTAATACTCCGTAAAATAAAACACAGCCCAGGTGACGTCAGGTTATCAAGATCTGGGGATACGTGCGTAACATCGACCAAACAGGCAGTCTTCCAAAAAAAATTGCAAGAAATCGAGAATTTCTAAAACAACCCTAATTAGGAGTAATCGAATATTACAAAATCAGAACCTAGGGTTTCAAATCAAATCGCAACCATGAGATCTGATGAATCAAACAACAAATTACACCGTGAGATCCCGTGATTCGAGAAATTAAAACAAAACCCGATCGATCGAAGATTTCAACCCGAAAAGATACGTCCGAAGGAAAATAGAGAGAAAGAGGCGTACCGCGACCAGATCGGAAGCGCGTGACGGCAGAAAGACAGAGAGGGGTGTGGATTAAGAAATCGGAAGCCGGATCGGGGATTGAAGGGGGCGGCGGCGGCGGCGGATGGAAAAGGTGAAAACAAAAGGGGATCTAGGGTTTGTGAGCGTGGGTGTGTGGGAGATGATGAGGATTTGACTCAGGAGGGTCCCGTTTGGATGGCGTGTAGGAAAGTAGGGGCTGATGATCGTAATTTCACCCAGGACTCTACCGCGCCTTATATTTCCCACACTCCCAGTTAGTTTCCGCGTTGCCCAAAAGTCAGTGCCAATGCTAAACCGGAGTATATAATGGAACAAAAAGTCTTGGTGTACACCCTGCGTTACACCCTGGGGTACACCATATATAAACCTTCTTTTTTTACTGCTTTCTTTACCCCTCTTCTCACACAGCTCTCCCATTCCCATTCCTCACGCACATTTCTTTCTCTCCCACATCCCTCTTTGTTCGTTCTCTTCTTCCCACCTTTCTCTCTGTTTTTTATTTTTTCTTTCCAGATATCATGGATGATTTTCTAGCATATTTGATGGTGGATGGAGAAGTGACCGGAAACGATGGAGGTTTGGAAGATACCCCTTACCTGCGACGGATGACGGACAACGGAAATGGAAGAAACGTGGAAGCTCTGGACGTCGAAAATGGGGGAGCTGTGAACGAAGAAGATGGAGTTGCGAACGGAAATGGTGGATCTGTGAATGAGGAAGATAGATGGTGGTCCGAACAACCCTAGGGACGAAGACTTAGGTGGGACGGGTGGCAGACCTGTGACACAAGGCGTCAACGAAGTTTCGATATTTGACGACCGAGATGATTACAGCTGTGACGGGAAGAGAATAGCAGGGAGAACATGAACACAGATGTTGAAGGTATTTTCTTTGACATACAGACAACTTACATACTCAGTGTCGGTGTGTACCGACAACTAATGTCATTGTGTACAGAGTAGTGTCGGTATGTATAGACAACTAAAGAAATCCTCATTGAGTTGATGCATACCTACAAATATGAATGTTGTATCTGTGAATGAGTTAATCACTAGTGTTCAATTTACCCTTATTCAGATTCTCCAAGTGGAAAATTTATAGAGGAGTTATTTTTAATGAGTGCATTGACAATAATAAAGTGTTCAAAGTTTGTTTCAGTTTATCACCGTAATGACTTCGTCAATGAGTCATTGTAAACAGATAATACAAACAGATAGAATATATATTTCCTTAATCTCCTAGCCATATCTAAAAGTTACCGATTGGAAGTTACTAAAGGTGTATTCTACCCGAAAATGATCTTTTTTCTTTCCTTTTGTTTATAGAGAGCAGATGCATTACTTATTTTAGAGGGATGTGGTGACAGAGGTGTGGAGATAAAAAATACTTTATGCTAAGTATGAAAAAAATTCAAATGGGTGTGCTTAAAATGTATGTAACTTTCAAGAGTGACGAGGTCATGGAAAGCTATAATTTATCGTTTCTATTTTGTTTGATGTTTGTGAAGAAAGGTATCTTTATGCCAAGGTGTGAAAATGGAATCTAGCTTCATTTGTTCAACCATGCAAAATTATGGAAAATAAGATTTTCCTATCAACTTATTTCAGACAAAACACAATTAGGATCAACTAGGACTTTCACATAGGGTTATAATGGGGTCTGTGGGATAGGCTTATGAACAAAGGGAATTAATGAGGAAACAAAAGAAATGAACTTGACATAGATTTAACAAATTTAGAGAGGTACTAAGTAGTGAGTAGTAGCTTTTGACAATAATCTATACAACATTTGTTATTTTTAATTGTTAGGGGTAGTAAACTAGTAACTAGTAAAAAAATGTAAATTAATGTACAAAAAAATATACAAAAGAGAGAAGCATATACATGGATAATTAGCCTTGTTTAGATTTTTTTATTCTCTTCATTTTCCTTTTTTTCTGTTTTTTTTTTTACTTCATTTTCTTTTTATTCTTGTTTAGATGGAGCTGCGACGGAGGACAGAAATGGTGGGCTGTGAACGAGGAAGATGGTGGTCCAAACAACGCTAGGGACGAAGACTTAGGTGGGACGGGTGGTGGACATGTGACACAAGACGTCAACGAAGTTCCGATATTTGAAAGTCGGGATGATTATAGTTGTGAAGGGGAAGAGAATAGCAGGGAGAAGACGAATGAGATGTTGGAGGTATTTTCTTTCACACACACAGATAGCTTACATACGCAGTGTCGGTGTGTACCGACAACTAATGTCGCTGTGTACAGAGTAGTGTCGGTATGTATAGACAACTGAAGAAATTCTCATTGATCGAGTTAATGTATACCTACAAAGATGAATGTTGTATCTATGAATGAGTTATGTATCTATGAATGTTGTTAATGTATACCTACAAAGACGTATTTGATTTATGAATATTGTTAATGTATACCTATCAAGATTTTTTTATATCTATGAATGTTGTTAATATATACCCTACTACTATAATGTATACCTACAAAGATGAATGTTGTATCTATGAATGAGTTAATGTAAAATGATTATTTGATTATGTGAACAGATGGAGATAACAATGGTGATGAATGTGAACAAATTCGAAAGATAGGCATGAAGTCTCCTACAAAAGATGCAGTTTATGATTTCTACAAAAAGTGTACATATGTCGGTGTGCACAGGCGAATGAAAGAAAGGCTCCTGGGTGATTGTACTGACAATTAGTGTCGGTGTGAACAGAGTAATAGTGTTTTTGTAGGTGTACACAGACAGTACTTTCTTTGTAAGTGTTTGTGTGACAATATGGTTTGAGTTTAGTAATATGGTTTGAGTTGTTAACTTGTTATGTAAGATTACCGAAATGTAATGGCCTTTGTTGTGTGAGTTATATACAAAAGTGAGAGATTTATGATTCTATTTGGTTTGTAAGTGTTACTTTGCCAACATGGTTGGAGTTGGGTTGGAGTTGTCTGTGAGCTTCATATGATATGCATGTGACGTTCATATCGTTGTCTATGAGCTTTATGGTAGTTGTTTGTGAAATTCAAATAGTTGTGTGTGAGTAATATTGTTATCTCTAAGATTCATATGTGTTAGTGTAATTTAAGAGACAACACATTCATATATATATATGTGTGTGTGTGTGTGTGTACAAATGCTACCAATCACTCTTCTTTTATTTATTTCAAGTCCTTTCAGTACACACATAGTAATAACAACTACACAGATACTATTGCCGGTGCACACATACAATAATAACAACTAAGAGATATTACTTTCGGTGTACACAGACAATATGAACAAGTCACAAACATATGTGTAGACATAATAATAGCAAGTACATAAATATTTCCTTCCTCGTTGTTGTAGCCTACCCGAAGCGCCCTGGAAGCGAATGTATTCACATGCAAGAATATTACTCACAAACAATTCCAAGAAGTTTATAGACAATTCATATGAAGCTCATAAATAACAATGTGAAATGCTTCATCTTGTATAATGATGTACATTATTGGTTGTATTGTTTTGTACAACGTTGAACACTTGCCCAAGTTGATTGTATCCATCTGTTTACAAAATCAAATAGTTCTATTTATTGAACTACAATATTGACATACATCTTTCATACATTTTGTAGGTGACCTACACAAATCTATATAAATAATACATTTATTACAATATTTGTGGGTAAAGTCAATGAGAATGTCTTCATTTTTCTGTACACACAGACACCAGATGTTGTTATAATCAATGAGGACGTTGTCATTCATCTGTCGCACCTCATCATCATTTTTCTCAGAAGCCGAATCACCTTCCTACAAACGTAAATAAATATGTAAAAAGTTAGACAAACACAAACTTGTTTATGGAGACAACAAACTTCAGAAAATACACAAACAAATCCAACAGTTTCATTTCATACACAACAATATGAACGACACAAAAACACCAAATAGCTTCAATAACCTACCACTTTTGTATATATCTCACACAAGAAACTCACACACACTTTGGTAATCTTACATAACAACTCACAGACAACTCCAAGTCAAATCATCCGGGGATACAGACACTGCAATTTTGAACACAGATAGATTATGTATTGCACAGACAAAAAGTATCGGTGTACCTTATTTCATGCCTGGGACCTTCTTCCACTTAAAGACACCTTACCGACACTTTGTGCATTTCACAGTCAGAAAGTGTCGGTGTACCTTATTTCAAGCCTGGGACCTTCTGCCACTTAAAGACGCCGTACCGACACTTTGTGAATTTCACAGACAGAAAGTGTCGGTGTACCTTATTTCATGCCTGGGACCTTCTGCCACTTAAAGACACCGTACCGACACTTTGTGAATTTCACAGACAGAAAGTGTCGGTGTACCTTAATAGGCAATAACCTCTACAAGACTACAAGGTGGAATTCGTTTCAACTGGTGTCAACCAGTTCTGCCACCAAAGCCCTGGGACCTGCACTTCCATGATGCCAACATCCGATTTACTTAGTATTTAGCAAAAATCTTCAGTAAAATTCTTAAACTAAGTGCACATGACTTTTCCAACACAAAATCAAATTGATTTTATTAAACTAAAATATAAGCCTACAAAAACAAAAATTAAAACCCTAAGGTGACACAAACACTGCAATTGGAAGTCACACTTCACCAATTCATGATGAACCAACTGCACTAGAAATCTAGCAGAACACATGACAGAAATCAGTATATGACAAACAAAGAAAACTGAGCTGAAAAACTCACACGCATATGAATCAAATTGAATCCAAATCAGTAAAGGAACACGGTAGAAAGCAATGTTCCCAAGCACTGGTCAACACTCCTTGATGTTGGTAGATTAATTGAGTATTAAGGACTCAGAACTTTAACAAGTAACACAAGAAAAGAAGTAATTGGGCATGAAAACAAGTATTGTTTTATATTAACTGAAAGCCATGTTCCCAAGCATTGTTATTGGTTTGGTGAGCTTCTTGATTTATATTAACTGAAAGTAATATTACACCATATTGTTTCGAGTTTTATATAACTGAAATCCAATTTTTTCTAAAAAATAACCCACTTTTGTATATAACTCACACAAGAATATAACAAATACCTCAAATTATACTATCGGTGCACCACACCCAATAAGATATATATACCACACAGCTTAACTGTCGGTACACACAGACAAAATTCAATAACCA